GAACAACAAAGCCTGCTCCACAGACCATCTGTTTACAGCTTAGTTTATTAAGTGTTTTTAGCCCACTGTTGAGACCTATTGTTCAGAAAAAAGATTCTTTTCAAAATATTACTACTTATTAACAATGCACCTAGTCACTCATGAGCTCTGAGGGAGAGGTACTAAGAGATCAATGTTGTTTTCATGCCTGCTCACAAAAGATCCTTTCTGTAGATGATGAGTCAAGGAGTAATTACAACTTTTAAATCTTATTACTTAAGAAATACATTTTGTAAGGTTAAGGTTGACGTAGATAGTGATTTCTCTGATGGATCTGGGCAAAGTAAATTGAAAGCCTTCTGGAAAGGATTCACCAGATACTGTTAAGAACATTCATGATTCATAGGAAGAAGTCAATTTATACCCACACGGTGACTTTGTGGGGGGCTCAAGACTTGAGTGGCAGAAGTAACTGCAGAAGTGGTGGAAATAGCAAGAGAACTAGAATCTGAAATGGAGCCTCAAGATGTGACTGAATTGTTGCAGTCTTGTGATAAAATGTGAACAGATCAGGAGTAGCTCTTTTATGGACAAGCAAAGAAAGTGGTTTCTTGAGGGTGGCACCTGTGGCTCAAGGAGTAGGGCGCCAGCCCCATATATTGGGGGTGGCGGGTTCAAGCCTGGCCCTGGCCAAAATTGCACACAAAAGAAAAGGAAAGTGGTTTCTTGAGATGAATCTATTCCTAATGAAGATTCTGTGAACATTGTTGAAATGAAAACAAAGGATTTAGAATAGACTTATAGACTTATTTGATAAACCAGTGGTAGCATTTGAGAGGATTGACTTCAATATTGAAATAAGTTCTACTGGGATAAAATGTTGTCAGATAGCACAATATGCTACAGAGAAACCTTTCCTAAAAGGAAGACTCAACAGATGCACAAACTTAATTGTTGACACAGCCACCTCAATTTTCAGCAACCACCACCCTAATCAGTCAATAGTCATCACCATTGAGGCAAGATCCTCCACCAGCAGACAGGTTAAGGAGGTGCTAAAGGCTTAGGTGATTGTTAGCATTTTTTGGCAAGTATCTTTAAGCTATGTACATCTTTTTAGACATAATGCCATTGAGCACTTATTAGCCTACATATAATTTAAACATAATTTCTATATGCAGTGGGAAACCAAAAATTTTGTGTGGCTTGCGTTAGAATAATAAAGTGTTCACTTTATTGCTTTAGTCTGGAACTGAACCAACAATATTTCTGAGGTGTGCCTGTAGACCTGTATTCTAAATCTCATTGCACTAAATAAGGGTAGGAGCTCATGTGCTACTGTCTCATAAAAGAGTTTCTCTGCTGGTATAGAGAACAGGAGAGTATTGTCAAAAGAACTTAACAACAATGGCACCCCTACTGCCAAGCCAGGAAATTTTACACCAGTGGTTTCCAACGTGAAGTGCTACCTGAACCCAGAGTTGTCTGGCCCACTTAAGTATTATAGCCCATCCTAACCTAGTTCACACAAATCCTAACCAGTAGTTACCAACCAAGAATCTGAAAACCTTGATCAAAATATTTTTTTCTGAAAAAGATGAACCATATTTGGGGCTTGGCTGAGGTAAGAAGGAGGATTTCATAGGATGCCACTCAAAATAGTAGGTTAGTATGTCCAGTTTCCATTGCCTCATTTATCAAGAGAGTTTGGGGGGTGACTTTCGGGGGTCAGTTTTATTGCGTGATATACTGGATAAAATAACGAAGATCACAAATTTTCTTTATGGTTATTTTTTTTAACCACTGCTGGTTCATGAATAGTTAAGGAGTTGAAGCAAGAAAAGTAGATTTAGTGTATTTTAAGTAAAGTAAATGGCTAAGTCCTAAAAATTTTTGAAGAAATGTGCTGAAGAGTTTTTAACACTAAAAAGTCCTACTTTAGATCCTACTTGCTGGAACTCCCATGGCCCCCAAATGCTGCATATGCTTTTCCTTGATGTTATATAACCCAATCTTCCATGTCCACTATGAAAAGTGATAATTTTTGTATTCACATTCTAACTTGACATGTGAACTAAGAAGAGTGTACGTGAGACTGCTTTGTTTTCAATGCTGAACTTCTCTGAGCTCAAAGGATTATAGTTACAAGGTTTCTTAATGAAAATATAAGTCCCGATTTTGAAAACTATTACAGATTTTGTTGTGAATCACATTTTCTGTGACTCTGGGATTCAACCACAGGATGCATGTGATTATAAAGCCTCAGCCCTATCAGGGTGGCTCATTTTCAAGAGAAATTACTTATGCTGAAAGCAAAGTATGCCCGTGAACACACAACAGTAGTGAACACATAAGGTTAGCTATGGAAGGGAAACGTGTATTAATGTGAAGGACAGTCTCTCCCTTATCCTCAGTTTCACCTTCCATGGCTTCAGTTATCTGTAGTACAGTACTAAAAGATATTTTTAGGGAGAAAAAGAGAGACTACACTCACATAACATTTATTACAATATTTTTTTCCCTGACACCCAGTACTTTATTGGTTCAGCAGAGGGGAGGCTGGGACAATACATTTTAATAAAAGTTCTATCTTATTGGCTTGGCGTCCGTAGCTCAGTAAGTAAGGTGCCAGCCATACTTACTGAAGCTGGCGGGTTCCAGCCTAGCCCAGCCCAGGCTGGGCTTGCTAAACAACAATGATAATTGCAACCAAAAATAAAAAGTAGCCTGGTGTTGAGGCAGGTGCCTGTAGTCCTAGCTACTTGGGAGGCTGAGGCAAGAGAATTGCTTAAGCCCAATAGTTGGAGGTTGCTGCGAGCTGTGATGCCACGGCACTCTACTGAGGGTGACATAGTAAGACTCTGTCTCAAAAAAAAAAAGTTCTATCTTATTATTAGATATTACTGTTAATCTCTTATTGTGCCTAATTTATAAATTAAACTTTATCACAGGTATATACATATCAAAAATAAAACAACATATGTACAGTTCAGCACCAACCACAGTTTCAGGCCGCTGGGCATTACAGAATGTATCTCCCCATGGGTAAGTGGGGACTACTTTAATTATATCAGTTCTGCTCCCACTTTAGTCTGGGCTGCTATAACAGAATACTATGGACTAGGTGGCTTAAACTTATTTCTCACAGTTTTGGAGGGTTGTAAGCTCTTCAAGATCAAGGTGCCAGCAAAATCACTGTTTGCTGAAGCATGCTTCCTAGTTTGCTGTTTGTCCCCCTGCATCCTCACTTAGTGAAGAGCAGAGTGATTATCCCTCTTCTTATAAAGGCACTAATAATGTTCATGAGGGTTTCACCCTCATAACTTCATTCTAAAGACCCAAATGCCAAATACTGTCATATTGGGGACACAGTAATCTTCAACATATGAATCTACAGGGGTGGGGGTGGAGGGACACCAACGTTGAGTTATAGCAGCTCTCTTCTTTCAGTCTTCTAAAAAGGAGGGTCCTACCTTTCTGAACTAATTCTTTTTGGATTTTTGTGATTTTGACTCAGGAGGAAAGAGAGCTGAGGCAAAGGCTCTGAAGCAAACAGCCAGGGCAAGTTTTGAAAAGGGGCACAAGAGCAGCTACTATGTGCAAGAGAAGGGGATGAGAGAGAAATTTCTGGACAAATTTTGAGTAATGTTTGTGGCTACCTAGCTATTTTATTAATCTGTAGAGTTATCCGTAAACAATCTAATTTTATCAGATTGTTACGATTTTCACATAACATCTCCTAGAATAGTCTAAGGTGTAAATAACTAGTACCCACTCTAAATGTACCAGTAAGTAGCCCTAGTCCTAAAACAGTATAATTTTTTTTTTTTTAACAAATAAAGGTCATTGTACTGGTTTTGGGTTTGTATATTAATACTGCTAGAAAATTGTTTTGAGTTGCTAATAGGCTATACTCCACAAATATCAGTAATAAAATTTTAAAATATTCATAAAATTGCACAAAAAACATGATCCCAGGCCTAGTGGGCAGTAAGGAACTTGGTCAATAAATTGTGAAGCCTGAACATTCGGTTTGTTACTAATTTATAACATGTTTTAGTTCTCTTTTATTAATAATAATAGCTAACAAAGAAAAACTAGGACTGTTGTATCCTTCCAGCTCGTTTGATGTCTAAGAGTGCTTTCACAAAACTAACACCACGGTGCCAATTCAATACAAAATGTTGGCAAGATGTTCCTTCTTTTCTTCAGAAAGTTAATGTTCCTTTACCATATTTGTATTTGTTCAAAGATTAAGCTTTGTTTCTGAGAAGTCCTTGGGTATTAGCGTCTCAGAAATAGAAAGCTTGGACTCTCAAGGCTTCTCTCCCTTGGCCAACATCCCTGGTGCCTCTCCTTGCTCAAGATACAGCAGCTACCGACCAGCGGCCAGAGAAGGGTCCGAAGGGAGTTTTAACCAAACTGCTTAACATATAGCAAGGGGGTTGGATGGACACCTAACGTGCCTGTAAGTTATTACCACAGCAAGAAGAAAAAGGAACAGTCCATTACATGCAAAGTTCCCCTTCCCGTCTGGTCCGTGTGCCCCGCGAAGCCCGGGGTTTGCTGTGTGTAGAACTCTCCCTCCCGGGCGGGGGTATCAGGACGAAAGGAGAAAAAAGAAGAAAAGGACGAGGCAGCAGAGGAGACCCCCGAAAGTTTGCTCGGCAGGTAGGGCGGCCTGGCTGGGGCTTGTCTGTTCCGCCCGCAGCGCCGCACTTTCCCGGGTAGGAAGCCCACGGCGTAGTGAGCCTCGCCGTCGGGACCAAGGGTCCGCGCCCGGCGCGTGGCAACGCCGAGGATGCGTCGTCGCCCGCGCGCAGCGCGGCCCGGGGCTCGGGGGCGGGCTCGAGGCGAAACTCCGCCCTCCGGCTCCTCCCCTTGTGGTGCGCGAGCCGGTCCCGCGCGGCGCCAACCTTTTCCCGGGTCATCGCCCCTCCCCTCTTCCGGGCCGCGAGCCCCCCGCGCGCAGCCTCGGAGCCGCGCTCGCTCGTGCGCGCGCTCTTCGCCCGCCCGCCAGGCCGCCAGCCAGTCCTCTCAGCGCGCGCTCGGCCGCCCGACGACGCGGGAGCCGCACGCGCTGGACCAAGGTAGCTGCGCTCTCAGTAGCTGAGCGCCGGCCCGCTGAGGCGGTGCCCTCGGTTTCCGGCCGAGGCACGGTCGGGACCGCTGAATCTGTGGCCCTAAAGCGGCGGCAGCGGTGGTGAGGAGACCGGCCGGCGGGAGGCAGACATGGCGGGGCTGAGGGCACCGTGGGGGAGGGTGGTCCGGGCGCCCCTGCGGCCACGTCGAGGGCTCGCGGACAGGCGGTGCGGGGAGGAGCGGTGAGGGGCGCGGGCTGGAACTGGGCTGCGTGGGCTCCTGCTCCGCAGCGGGGGGCTGCGGGGGCGGCCGGCGCGGGAGGGAAATCCCGGGACCCTCGGCGGGCTCCGGAGGGCGGAGACGCCGCCTCGGGGCTTCTGCCACGTTTCCGCAGTGGGTTACCTTCCGCCTCGGGGTGAGCGACTTAGTCGGCGGGTTTTCCGGAGCCCGGGACGCCGCTCGCCGTCCGGAGGGACGCGCCTGAGGGAAGCCGGTCCTCGAACCCGGGACCGCCCGGCGTCCGGCGGGGACTGCGGCCCCGGGGCCGGCGGGGCGGGCGCGCCCCAGCCGGGATGTTGTCGGGGGTGGCCGGCCGGGAACTGGGCTGCGGGCGGGCCCTTCCCCCGAACTTGGGGGAAAACCAGATTGCAGAAGTTGGACGCAGCGCGCAGGCCGGCCTTTCGAGAGTGGGTGGCGAGGTTTGCTGCCGCCTCGCCGCGCTGTCTGGGCGCCCCGGTGGAGTGCTTAGCAGCGGGCTTCGATGGCTTCAAAAAGTCGGACTCCCGGCCCTTCGGAATATTCTGCCCCTCCCCCGGGTCCGGAGCCCGCTCGCTGACGCCGCGAGGCCGGGCACGGGGCTCCCCGGGGCCGCAGGCGTCTTCCCGCTCGGTCCCGCAGCCCGGGGAACGTCTGTCGGGAGACTGAATTGTTTAGAAACGGTTGCGATTAGCTTTCGTTACAAGGGAGGGAGAAGTACAAAGTTGTGAACTCCTAGAAGGCCGGCTTGCCTTCGCTGGGTTCCATCCACGCAGCCGGGAGCGGAGGAGCCTGTGGAACAAAGTAGAACTTGACGAGCCGCCGCGGCGGTGACGCCGGCCCGGTGACGTCACCGTGCGATATTTAAAATGCGAGGTTTGCTCCGCGTGTGGGTGGGGAACTGCGGCTCCTCACTCGCGGCGCGCTGCTGACTTCTGCTTCTTCCTCCCCGACTTCATCACTCTCCCTCTTCTACCTTTTGCTACTCCTAGAATGCTGCCAGCGGGGGTGGGCTAATTTTTCAGCTGTTGCAGTCATTCTTTCAAACCGAAAAAAAAAGAAACAACCTGAAGTCTATGAGTCATCTTGTATTACAACCAAAAGCAAGCACTAAGTGGTTGTTTCCTTCCTTTCTTCCTTTTTATTTTTTGGACATAAAGTGGAGCAAACAAAAACAGGACCCTAAAGTCTCACGTCTAGCACATAGTGGACAAATTTAATGAATGGAAATGATCTAGTTAAGGATAAAGTACATTTTTTTAGTGTGGTTTCTTGTTTTCGTTGGTGGGGTGAAGGCTGATGTAGTTCCATCAGCAACTTTCTTCCCAAACCTTAATTGCCTTGGGTTTTCCTTTCCTTCGTAACATGGTGAGTATAAATGTGGCTTTATAAAGTGGAAATGGCTCACATTTTTCAGGAGGAGTCTGCACAGTATTTGTGGTAGGCTGGGTTATGTGTGCCTGCCGGTTGTGTGTGGACCGGTGCCCACTGCCTGGTAGCTGGCTCTAGAAAGTGAATTTGGCATTTTAGGGTTCCAGGAGGAAGGTTTGGGTGTCTTCCCATTCAGAATCAGGGTGGCTGTGGCTGCCAGCACACCTCTCAAATAGCTATATAGAATTTAATTCACAGTAACGTTCCTTGTTTGAATTTGCACATGGGAGTAAAGCAGTCATTATGAAGAGAGATTTAAAAAGCAATTTGAAAGAAGGAAAAGAAAGCTGACAAAATCAGCTTTGTTTTTAGAATGTGTAGGAAATACAAACTATTGGTAGGTTAGTTGCTTTTTGTACGAAACATAGTAGAGGCTGTATGTCTTTAATATGTAATTGGTTCCCAAAAAGGTTATGTTGCTTACTAAATGCAGCATCTGAGTAACTCCAAGTTTTTACGGCAGCCAAATGAATGAGCTCACCGATTATAGACAGAATATATGTCAAAACAATCTCATGACAAGGCTTTTGCCTTTATGGATTAATCAATGATAAATCATATCTGCCATTCTAAAAAAGTCCTTCTTTGGGATAGTTCAAAATGCATGTCAATTGCTGATTATTTCTTTTAGTGTGATTTTCTTGGGATGACCCTGATTTCCCTTCTGTTAAATATGCCCTGATAGAATCACTCTTTATTCTGTGTCTTAACTTTAGGTAAATTTATCCTTGTTCCTAAAAGAGTACTTACAGAAACTCAATACTAATTTTTTTAATGTGTAACAGCTTTAAGATATAATTCATATGCCATACAATTTACTCACTTAAAGTGTACAGTTTGATGGTTTTAATATATTTGTAGAGTTGTATAGCCATCATCATAATTAATTTTAGAGTAACTCAGTAATCTTAGTATTACTCCTCTTTGTCCCTGAATCTCCTAGCCTGTGTCATCTAACGTACTTTCCATCTGTATAGTTTTGCCTATTCTGAACATCTCATATCAACGGAATCATATAATATGCAGTTATTTACAACTGGCTTCTTTCCCTTAGCATAATACATTCAAAATTTGCCCATGTTACAGCTTTTTCAGTACTTTATTCTTTTTAATTGCTGAGATATATATTGTACATGATACACCACTTTGTCCATTCATCAGTTGGTGAACATACAGGTTATTTTGGTGGTGGTGGGAGGGATATTACAGATAATGCTGCTAAGGATATTTGTGTACAAGGTTTTGGTGTGGACATGTTTTCATTTCTCTTGGGTATGTGGGTAGAATTGCTTGATCATAATGGTAATTCTATGTTTAACCTTTGTGGGAACTGCCAGGCTTTTCCAAAATGGCTGTGCAGTACTATATTTAAAAGTGAACTTTTTTTAAAGTTTTAATCACATCACATGATTTTAGTTTGTCGTACCGGAATATTGACACACTTAGTATAAACTGTACAGTATCTCTTGTTCTAGTGCTTCTTTTTGAGTGATGTCTAATTTTATTTTAGCCAACCAGAGCAATTTGGTGTGCTCTATTTATTAAACATCTTCACAAAGCTAAGTGATGAGGTTCTTTAGTAGTATTTTATAATAAGGTCTTTATGGCATATACATAAGTCAGTGATTGTTCCCTACTCCAGACATGAGCCAATGAAATCTAAGATAAAATTGGAGGGAGGAGGGGAAGCTATCAAGGAAGGATATTTTGTATAGTTTTATCTGCAGTTTTTATATTTTGTCTTTTTGAAAAATCCTTTTTTATCTTTGCAGAGGAAAAACATGAAGAACGAAATTGCTGCTGTTGTCTTCTTTTTCACAAGGCTAGTTCGAAAACATGATAAGTTGAAAAAAGAGGCAGTTGAGAGGTTTGCTGAGAAATTGACTCTAATACTTCAAGAAAAATACAAAAATCACTGGTATCCAGAAAAACCATCAAAAGGACAGGCTTACAGGTAAAGGCTTATATTGGATAGTTGTACTGGACCAAGTAAAGACGCGGATCAGCTCTTGAAAAGGGTGGAATTCCAGAGGACTGAAGGATATTCAGACCATGCCTATTATAGTTCTATCTGCAAAATATGGAACTCTAGGGTGTCTAGGTATTTTGTCCTTAATCATTTTAAAATACAAGTATCAGGTGGTAGAGTTCAGTATTCTGCCTAGGCGAGGAATGCCAATGCTTAGAGGGGTGTAAGAGTTCCTCTTTTGTGGTTATGTCTGGCTCCTGACTTTTTCTCTGTGTATCACAGGTACTTGGGGTCTTTCACAATTCCAGAGGACCCCTAATTACCCATTTAATGGCCATGGAAGAGTTGAGGGAAATTAGTCTTCTTGTATGTAAAAGTAAATTACATCATACATGTTTTTTGAAGAAAAATTTGTATTAGAGAAAGGGAACTACGATTGTTAGATACCTAATGTGTTCTTAACACTATTAGGAATAATCTCACTTATACTGTGCCTAATTTTTTGTGGTAGAAGCAAGTGTAACCACTTTGTAGGTTAGGATAACTCATCTGTGATCTACAAGTGATAAAAATACTAGCTCTGGGATTTGCACTCAGGTCTGACTCATCCTAAGTACTCATAGACTTTGTGCACACCACAGTGCCACCATTTCCTTGGCACTAAGAAGGAAGAGAATTCTCATTCATAGCTGTCTTTTGTATTCTGGTTTATAAGGTGCATTTACAGCTTTGAATAAAGAGGAGCGGGTTCCTGTAAAACAAGTCCTGACATGCTCATTCCCTAGTACGTATGTGATTGCTCAGGAACCTGGTTTGAGAATGTTTTTGCTAAACTCAGCTGTTAAACCTTGCCCCATTTGTGGATGTGGCCACAAAAAATAAGTAGAACAGCTATGAATATATTAGGTGGGTAGTTATGAACAGCTTTCCTGGGAAGGAGGACAAGTCAGGACCCCCCTCAATCTCCACCTTAATTCTGTCCCAAGTGATTGCTCACACTTGGGGAGTAGGGACCATCAGTCCCTCCAGTCTACTAGTCAGAACTTGATTCTCATTTTCTCTGTATATCTTCAGTTCTGATAGAGTGAACAGCTTTTGTGAATTAGATGCATCAAATTTTTTAATACTGGTCTAATTGACATTGGATGAAGGCTTTTGTAAGGATGAACCACCATACTGATATTGAAAAAGGAAGCACTGTCAAGTAAATACCTAAAGGTCAGACAGTGTACAATTTCATTTCCATTAATTCTAAACACTTGGGGAAAAGTCAGATAAGATTAAATTGGCATGTAATCAGAAGTATTAAGCTGTCTTTGAAGTAGAAAACTATTAAATTTAATAGTGGGTTGTTACTATTATAAAAATGAATAGAACAGGTTAACCAGAGTTAGTAGATACTCTTCAGTCCATAGAGTATGTGAAGTGTTAATTTTTTTCCAAAGTGTTGATACATTAAAATTGTTTCTGTGCAATATAGGCAAGTAAAATGCTTGTGGAGAATGGTTTGTCAGTATTATCAAAATCCATAGAAATAGTCATACCTTTGGAATAAGTAAGTCTACTAAGAATCTATTCTGGAAGCATAATCAGAAATGCATAGATATGTATGAATATGAATGTTTCTTACATTTTGTAATGGCAAGAGATTGGAAATAACTAAACTGTCAACATTAAGTAAATGATAGACTATTTTTATCCTACTTTTAAAATTTTGTTTTTGAAAAGTAGTTAATAGATAAGTAGTCACAGTATGTAGAGTAAGAAAAAGCATAAAAATATGTAAGGTAGGCAGTGCCTGTAGCTCAGTCGGTAGAGCACTGGCCACATATGCCAAAGCTAGCAGGTTTGAACCCTGCCCGGGCCAGCTAAAACAACAAAAAAGAAAAAATAGCCAGGCACTGTGGTGGGCACTTGTGGTCCCAGCAACTTGAGAGGCTGAGGCAAGAGAATCGCTTAAGCCCAAGAGTTCGAGGTTGCTGTGAGCTGTGACACAGGGCACTCTATGCAGGGCAACCAGTTGAGACTCTGTCTCAAAAAAAAAAAAAAAAGAAAAAAGTAAGGTATTCAAATTTTGTTGAAGCAAAGTCTCTTTATGCTCCTATATTTACATATAATTTTTAAGCTTAGAGTCTACATCACCTTTGTGAGGAAGAAAAACACAAGGAGATCTATCTTAACTGCTTTAGATCCCATCACACCTGAGATCTTTTGAATAACGCTACACAACATTAGAATCTGTAGCATAGGACCAAACAACATTTTATATACTATAAAACAATTTTTTTTTCACTCTGACTTTGGCATATTGTTAATGGTGTACTAAGATAGGTGCATATAGACAGAATTGGGTATAATTAAATATCATGTACTTGAGAGCATAGTGGCCTAGATTTTATCCTTAGATCTATCACTTAAGAGCTGAGTGATCTTGGGCAAGTTACTCAAACTCGGTCTGCCTCCTTTTTTCTTTATGTTGTTGGGTATTTAACTCACAGGATAACTGTGAGAATTAAAAGTTAATATGTGCAAAGTATTTAGGAAACTATCATGTAGTAACCGTTCAAAAAGTTACTAATATTTAATGTTATTTAGAAACCTTTGTTATTAACTGTTATCCAAGGAAAACTTTCTCGTTTTTTCAAATGAAAATCGAAACCAACTAAGTTTTTATAAAACATAACATTTTTTATCATACATTACTTTAAATCAAAGGTCCTCAAACTTTTTAAACAGGGGGCCAGTTCACTGTCCTTCAGACTGTTGGAGGGCCAGACTCTGGGCCCCAGAACGAGTGGGCTGCAAGCAGGACAGACAGCGGCGGCAAAAACACCGAGTGGGCCGGATGAATGTCCTAGGCGGGTTGCATGTGGCCCGCGGGCTGTAGTTTGAGGACACCTACTTTAAATCATACATTACTGTTGATATTACTGTGTTTTATGGTACTGTTACCATTTATTAATTACCTGGTATTTCTGTGTTTTATAGCTTAATGTCTGAGGAAGAAGTGGAATGACTTAATGAATCTTACCCAATAGTCGAACTAGTACCAAAACCTAAAACTTTACTGATAATGGGCTGTAGACAAAAAATACTTTCTATCCTAGCTTATATCTCTTTAAATATTTATTTAGCATTTAATTTAACAGAATGCATCTTTATTCTAGTAGCTGGCTTTGAATATTACATTAGATAGATGTAGGTTAAAAAAAATGGAACAGAGACTCTTGGTTTAGAATTTTTTTTTCTTAAATCTTAAGTAACAAAAGTTAAATGAAAGAAAGCCAATACATGTTAGGTATTTTAATCATAAGTAAGTGATTGTACATGTAGTTATAAATGGTTCTCTGTGCTTGACTGGTTCTATGTTTATAGAACAATTATAGTAAGACAAAAAGTGCCCTCTTAATAACTTTATTATTTGGAGTATGTTAATAAAAGTAAGCTAATGAGAGATCAAAACTTCTCACAGGAATTTCCTTATGTCATTTGAAACATTAATTGAGATCTTTCATTAGACATTTTGTTGTATGGGAACTTGGCCTACAAAAACTTTTATTTCTCTTCTTCATTTGGGATAGGTTAAGTTCTTAGGTTTTCCACCAGGGTATTTATTTATTTATTACTGTACTGTTATTCACCTTGGCAAGTACTACAGACACAATGATGTTTAAGATTAATTTAAATTCATTAATGTAACTCTACTTTGTTGTAGATGCATTCGTGTCAATAAGTTTCAGAGAGTTGATCCTGATGTCCTGAAAGCTTGTGAGAACAGCTGCATCTTGTATAGTGACCTGGGCTTGCCAAAGGAGCTTACTCTCTGGGTAGACCCATGTGAGGTGTGCTGTCGGTGAGTTCTTGAGTCTGGTGGCTGAAACGGTGCCATAACCGATTTTATGAAATTCTCTTATGTATGGTCTATCTGTAGTTATGGCCAGGAGCTGATGGTTTAGCTTTCTCAGATACAAATTTTGTGAACTATTCTACTGAAGGTGATGATGATGAACTGGTTACATTCCTGCCTTACTAGAAAGAAACTCAGAAACTGGGCATGGTTCTTGGAGAGCTTTGCCAAGAAATTTATTATAGGCCAAGAAGTAGAACTTAGACTAACCTGGATTATTACAGGTCATTTTCTTTTTTAAGGGAGAAGCAAATAATACTAGATAACAACTTCTGGTTAGCCTCACTTTCTGTTTCTCTCTATTCTCCCTCCTTTCCACTTTTTGATTTTTTTAAGTGACTGAGTAGTACATTCATGGTTTTTTCTTTTTATAATGGAATCATTCTTCCCTTCTCCTGATGAGCAGAATTATAAAAGATGAGTGTACTAGGTATGAAATCTGTTTGAATTCCATTCACTCAAAAAAAAAAAAAAAAAAAAAACGTTTATTGTGGCTTAGGTGCTTTTAGTTGTGGGGTTTTGAATGAAAGCAGCATTCTGGGCTGTGTGTCATAGCTCATTCCTCCAATGCTAGCACTCAAGCTCAGGAGTTCAAGACCAGCCTCAGCAAGAGAGAGACTCTGTCTCTACTAAAAATAAATAAATAAATAAGAAAAATTAGCTGGGCTGTGATGGGTGCCTGTAGTCTTAGCTATTTGGGAAGCTGAGATAGTAGGATTGCTTGGCTCTAGGAGTATAAGTTTGGCTAATGCCATGTTACTCTAACCTGGGCAAAAGAATAAGATTCTGTGTCAAAAAGAAAAAAGAGTAGGCCAGGTACAGTGGCTCACACCTGTAATCCTAATACTGTGGGAGGCCAAGCAGGTGCATTGCTTGAGCTCGAGTTTGAAAGCAGCCTGAGCAAAAGCAAGACCCTGTCACTACTAAAAATAGAAAAACTGAGGCAAGAGAATCACTTGAGCTCAAGAGTTGGAGGTTGCTGTGAGCTATGACACCTTGGCACTCTACCTAGGGTGACAGCTTGAGACTCTGTTGCAAAAAAAAAGTATTCAGTAGGTAGTTCAAATGTAGTAATGGGGAAGAAAGGATGAGCAAAGTATAACATAGGCTGACTTGTGCTATAGAAGAAGTGGATACAAAAAGCAGTGGTTTAGGTGACACAGAAGGAAAAGTTATTGCATCTGCTGGGGAGTCAGGAAAGACTGGGCTGAGCTAGGATGGGAAGGATGAGTCAGGGTTGACCAGGTGACATGGTAGGAAGGACATTCCACCGAGAGAAACAGAATGAAAAGAGACATAACATAGAATCCCTGTAAAAATTTTCCCATGGCCGTCTGTTTTAAGGTATTTCTCTGGTTTTGTGGTGTAATTCACCTGATCACCTGGCCTTTCTGTTGAGCTGCTCTTTGATGCAATCTTAACTATATGCTCCAAAGATGGTCACTTTGGAGACTTACTAAATATAAGACTTTGACCTGATCACCAACAGTGAAGGTGGGTGTAAAAACATAGAGTGCTAAAATATATGGTGGTCTTTCATAATTTTATCAGGACCATCCTTATAGATTACTACCTCATTTGCCAGAGGTTGATATATAAGTTTATTGCTTTGGGAAACCAAGCATAGAGGTTTATGAAGGTAAAGATTCTTCTATATCCTTTTCTCAGGTAGAAAAAGAAGAGCTGTCTATCTTAAGTTTAGATCTGAGGAAGTCAAACATTTTGGATTCTGAGGTTAACTAAGCACTTAGACTAGTGTCAGACTTTGGAGATTTTAGCCACTAACCTCATCAGAAGACCTCAGTTTATAAGAAATAGCTGTCAAAACATTGATGAATTGGTTACTTTTTTTTTTCTTTTAAAAGAGAGTCTTTGTCGCCCTCAGTAGGTGCTATGGCGTCACAGCTCACAGCAATCTCCAACTCTTGGGCTTAAGCAATTACTTTGCCTCATCCTCCCAGGTAGCTGGGACTACAGGTGCCCGCCACAACACCCAGCTATTTTTGATGCAATTGCCACTGCTGTTTTAGCTGGCTGGGGCCGGGTTCGATCCTGCCACCCTCCGCATATGGGCCTGTCGTCCTATCCACTGAACCATAGATGCTGCCCTGAATCAGTTACTTTTTTATTTGGCCTGCACTTAACATCCTGGATGGCTGTATACTTAGTAAATGCAGTTGTGTTATTTCTCAACCCATAAAAAATGAGAAGCAGCATTTGAAGCAGAGTGTTCACAGTAGTCTTAAAGCTACAAAATGCCACATGGTCCAGCATAGAGGCAAGAGTGAAAAAGCTAAAGGGTCAGCATAATTATTACAAATTTAGGTAGTATAGTTAATACTAAATATCATGATCCTAAATCATCAGGGAATTTTTTATTTTGTCTAGGGATGTTTAAGCAGTTGGGCAGTTATATAAACATTTTGGATTTATTTAGTAAGTCTCATGACCTAAAGATAAAAAATTTTAGTTAAATGGGGTAGCGCCTATGGCTCAAAGGAGTGGGACACCAGCTCCATATACTGGAGGTGGCAGGTTCAAACCCAGCCCCAGCCAAAAACTGCAAAAAAAAAAAAAATTTTTTTAGTTGTACATGGACAGTCTACTTAAGTGGACACTCCATTACTTGATGATGCCTAATAATTAAAAAACACTGTGCTTTCATCTTATAATTTTTAAAAATCTTTGCATTTAGTAGCCTTTTAATAGTTTCATAGTTAAAATTTTGCCAGAAATGTGTGTCATTTTTTCCCCCACAGCTAATAAAATTACCTTCAGAATGTAGTGTACTCATTCAGAGATGATAAACCCCTCAAAAGAAACTAGCAGTTGAGTAGAGGGACTTAACTACGAGTGGTTGTTAGAGTAACCTGTGAGATATTGAGAAATACTTCTGGACTCAAACTAGAAAGAAAAATACTCTGAAAATGAAAACAAAGCTTATCTAGCAGTTACACAGTTGAATAAATATCTGAGAATCTCTAAAAACAGTAACTCATGGGCAGCACCTATGGTTCAGTGGGTACAGCTCCGGCCCCATATACCGAGGGTAGCAGGTTCAAATCCGGTCCTGGCCAAACTGCAACAAAAAAATAGCTGGGCGTTGTGGTGGGCACCTATAGTCTCAGAGATGTGTGCTGCCGTGGTACTCTACCAAGGGCAATGGAATGAGACTCTGTCTCTACCAAAAAAAAAAAAACCTGTAACTCATTGGTATACTAGTAACTGAGATTATAAAAAAAAACTGAAGGGCCATGCTTGGTGATTTCATGCCTGTAAGACTGTAGGAGGCTGAGGTCTGAGGTTCCCTTGAGCTCGGGAGTTGGAGACCAGCCCGAGCAAGAGTTGAGACCCCCGGCTCAGCGCCTGTAGCTCAACCGGGGAAGGCGCCAGTCACATACACCTAAGGTGGCAGGTTCGAATCCAACCCGGACCTGCCAAACAACAATGGTGGCTGCAACCAAAAAATAGCAGGGCGTTGTGGTGGGCGCCTGTGGTCCCAGCTACTTGGGAGGCAGAGGCAGGAGACTTGCTTGAGCCCAGGAGTTGGAGGTTGCTGTGAGCTATAATGCCACTGCACTCTACCCAGGGGGACAGCTTGAGGCTCTGTC